TTTTTTTCCACGTTAAAGTCATATTTCGTTTCTTGCCCGTAAAGGCATAATGCAAGACACGATGCCTTTTCTGATTGAACGAAATCCGTGTCAATATCATTTAGCTCATTTCTTTTAAGATTCTCACTTGCACTCCCAGTCAAATGCTTGACAAGGAGAACATAGATAACATCTTTTAGTGGTCCGGCGTAGTAATAGGCACTTTTTGTATCGATGGTATCTTGCTCTTCGATTAGCCACAGATCTTTTGAAGTAGGGTCTAACATAACTTCCTTCAATGCTGCTTGAGCATCATCAGAAGGAATCAGAGAAGATTGAGCAAGATGCAGTAGTATCTTAGCAGCCACATAGCGAGCATTCATCGAATCTGACTTCAGATAGGAAAGTAAACGATTCGTGACGATCTGCTCATCTTTAATAGAATTGATACGTGTCCAACATTTCTAGCAAGTGTTTTGAATATGTGGATCATCACATTGAGCTTGAATGAACATTTCGCACAACTTCACTGTCAACTCGCCGAAAACCGATAAAATGGTTAAACAGGCAGCACGACGCGGAAAATCATGCTGTTTGCTAGTATAAAATAAGGCGTGTTTCAATTCATTTCTAAAGCTACAATCTTTTATATAGACGCAAAATGCTGCTGGCATTCGTGTAGCGATTGAAGCCGCAACCTCTACGTAATGGGACCAACTATAGTTCAACATATAGTCCACAGTTTTGATGTGGTGCACATCATTAGTGAAGTGACAAATATTATTGTACAGATGAACCACGAACATCGATAAAAGATCAGGATTCTTCTTGATGAACTTTGCCGGTGCGTTTATTCTCATTTCCAGCACATTGTACAGCAAGCAATAAGCTGTTGATCCAAAGAGGGCATGATAACACTGGCCGTAATCAGAATCAAGAAAATCAAACAATACGGATTCGTTCAATACGCGACCAAGTCCTACGCTTGCTGCTTTTTGAGCATGGTGTGAGGAATGCTTGAGCAGTTTGCGGAATAGACAAGGGAATAGATCAATGCTGTCCTAGTCAAGCTCAATCTCGTTCACCGATAAACAATGACAATAACTTGAAATTAGCGTATCGACAACACAATTCGAGTAATTAGAGCCCTTCTTGGCTGCGTTCTTTGTCCCCATTTCAATATGATTATATAAGACTTTATGGGTTTTTGCATCCCAAACGTAACCAAGAGCGTAGGCTGCTGCTTGACAAATTTTATCACTTGACAATATTTCGAATAATTTCGTTAAAGTTTGGATCATCAATTTTCTTGTTTCATCTGTTTGGTGTATGAAAGGAGCTAATAATACAAGTACTGAAACAACAAATTGAGTATGACTTTGTAAGACCAAAATCGATGTTGTGTCGCCATCAATATTTGAGAATGGAGTGAAGTTAGAAACCATAAGATCACACATGTATTGTATTAAATCAACAGAAACTCTCCTTATATTATGACAGAAGAACACATCTCTGGTGATATCAGTTGGAGAATGGGAATGTACGTGGTGAATCGGTGATGACGGTGATCTTTTCAAGAAGTATTCTTTATCAATCGACGCATGAATTCTATACCTTTCTAACCAGAGAATAGTTTCCAGATGAGATTGACTATCGATGGTTGTATTGTCAAACGCTGGTAATAAAGTCAGTCTGGCAGAGGGAGAGTTGTAAGCATTATTGACTAATTTCTTTAGTACAGTTAACAGAACATTAATACCCAACGTTGAGTTTGTGGCATCCAGACAGTTGGTCGCAGGACATTTGGTCGTATAGTGTAAATAAGAGAAATATGAGTATAATAACCACTCAACACTAATACAATGAAGAGTGTGTGGGTGTGGGTGTCCAGGCCAACACCCGCACCAGCACCCACACCCACACCTCACACCCACCCACACTCTTAAATCATGCAAATGTGCATTTATATCTTGCTATTAGATACTTATGGCTATATACTGGAATCGTTTCGTTCAGTGGACATCGACTTTTGTTGATGGATGCCACATGAATGTGAAACATGGTATTTGCAGTGTCTTGACTATATTATTCTGCATTCGTCGTCATCTTTGATCCAAGTTGATGAGGTTATAATATTCTTCAGTTTGTTTCATTATTTGATGCAAAGTATGTTATTATACCGGTAATAAAAATTTCATTTTTTCATTCAGGATTATCAGATGATTATATATTAAAAACTGTTTGAAATCTAATGAAAATACGTGTTTTTCATAGGAAGCTACTATGTCAAGTAATATGCATTCATAACCACTTATTTAAGATGATTCTGTTTTGATTTTATAGAAAATCTTTAGTTGAATATGTGGTAAAAGTTTCATAGGTATCGATGCAAATATACGAAAGAAGATTCAATATTCATTGAGAGTGACTGCTTTCAAAGAATAGTAATTATATCCCTAATAATGCAAATGTTCGCCGTCTGCTTTGCTGATTCAACATCCTGACATCAAGCCGAACAAAACTATACCTAAAAAACTTAAAAGTGAGCGAGAGGGTATAGGCGTCAACTCCTTTCAAAAAATTATTTTCACTCTTCGCAAGTCTTCGAATGATGGATCTCTCTAACGAGGAAATCGTCCTAAATGATTTGCCGCTTTTGAACTCATATTCTTGGCATATAGAGGAGACCTTTAGACTAGAATGACTCTAAAAGGATTCTGGCCCATAGGCATCCTCTACAGAGCTATAGCCATTTTACTTTAGTTTTAGCCTATGGCACGGTATGCACAAACAAAGAGACTGACGATATTTCGATCTGAAACTGTGTCCACAAATAGGTCTACTTATAATTAGACTGCTCTGAAAAACTCAGCTCAAAAGAATGTTTTCTTTGCGAGATGTTGAAGTTTAAAAAATCACACGAATCCCATAAAAGATGCGAGAACCTCATGTTTTTTTCAACATTCAATATCTCGTGAACAAAACATTCTTTTGAGCTGAAATTCTCAGGACATTCTACTTACAAGTAGATCTATCTGTGGACACAATTTCAAGTGGAATATTGTCAGTCTCTTTGTTTGTGAATATCGTGCCATAGGCTAAAATGAAAATAAAATGTCTATAACTCTGTAGAGAAGCCGATGGGTCTGAATCCTTTTAGGGTCATTGTAGTCTAGGGGTCTCCTTTATGTGCCCAAAATATGAGCTCAAAAGCAGTGAATCACTTCGAGTGGTTCCCTCGTTAGTGTTTGTTGTACCATTGAGACGAATCTAAGAGAAAAAAAAATAATAGTTTAATTTATAATGATACTTACTGTTTATTGAGCCGCTGATATGGATCTAAACTAAGACAAAAATTATTTTATACAAAAAATGACTTTAAATTCAACACCATAAAAATCCGATATTATACGAACGCCGTATACGATTGTCGTATTCAACGGTCGTTTACAACTATCGTATATCATTGTATTGCATCGTATACGACCATCTTATACGGCGTTCGTATACGATGATTTTAATCCGCCGTATTTTTTCGTATACGGTCGTTTACGATCGTGCTTTTTAAACCTGGGTAGCAAACAAAAGAGAAAAGAAACACGAATACATACCTATAGATATATATGGGCAAGCTGGAAGAAATCAACTATATAATTTGTATGAGTATATCGGAAAATTCCAACGTAGAACACATGATAATATGCTAGGAGAAATCTAATACATCATATTGCTGATAACCTTGTATGCAGTGCGTAGATATATCTAATACTTGTGAATGCCCGATATCTCTTCACCTAAACACAACTAACCAATATCAATTTCAAAGAAAAAATTCGAATATGTTTTCGAAGATAAAACTGAAACAATAACTCCTAAGGTATATAAAGCGGGAGTGACCATAAATGCTACATAATTTCGCAGTCTGTGTTACATTTTTTTTTCAACATAATTTGTGATGCATATGAAATATTTCTAACTTGTAGACATATTTTGTGTTTGGTTTGTTATGTCGTTGATTCGCTTTTTCTTTCTTATCTGTTGTGCTCCTAACTTGCATCATAACTAGTGCGATTGTGATAAACGCACGTTATTCACAAACAAGTTAAGTTACGAGCATTTGCAATGATCTTTCACAAGTACGTCAAGTGTTTTAGTTTTTTTCAATCGTCCTTTTTAGTCATTATATAACACATAGACGTGATGTGTGAAGGAAAATATTGTTTGAGATGAACTACCGTCATTTATTATCCACCAAAGTTGACTGATTTTTTGTAAATGAGGTTTCTAAAAAAGGATATGGCAAACAGTTTGATACTTGTTTACCAAAATCCGCGAACATTGCATCTCGAACTTTCGATTGATATTTTGGTGAACTAAATTCACAACTTTCAGTTTGCATGATTTCTTCAAGATTCTTAATTTTTCTATGCTAAATATTGACAATGCTCATGCGTCAACCATTAATGTTTGTATAATTATTCGTCCTGCTTCCTTTGTTTCTCGCAATGTTTCGTCAACGCTTCCTGTTTTTCGCTTTCCATCGATAGTGAAACGAACAAAAATAACTTATGAGCCACCGCAGTCAACATTAACCATAGGTAATTAAATAAATAAACACAGTCATAAACTACCGTTTCACAGGATTTCTCACTGTTCGATAGGCGCAGTATTTCAAGCGTATATCATGCTATTAAAATGTGTTTTGAGGATGTGGATGGGAGTGTGAGTGTGGGTGGAAAGATGAAGTACATCCACACCCACATCCTCATAATTATTGTCATTATTATATATTTAGTTATGATTGATTGTACATTTTTTTTTATTGATTCAGAAAACAATAAAATACATATCGGCAAGAAAAATGAATGTAGACATATTCCCCATTGAGAGGCTCACAGTACGGATCGACTCGAATCAAACCAAACCGTCACAGTTCTGCTCATTTCGATTCGCTTTTGGTCTCTGGTGTATGCATTGTTGTGTTTGCCTGTTCTCATTCTCTAGATCATCTATCATCGAATATGTCGAAATCCAGCAATGACAAGCACTTATTACACACCAGTGACTACAACACGCGTTTCAATTTAGATACTTATCTTAAAAGTTTCTATTCCGGTGTTGATATCGATCCAAATCAAGAACCACTTATAGCTTTTTTTCCTGAAAACATTGTTCGAATCTTGCATGATGAACAAAAACGTCTAGGGAATCAAAAAGCATTGGAGTTTGGTGGTGGACCATGCCTATGGTCATCATTGCTTCTCGCTCAACATGTCGATTCAATTCGGTTTTGTGACTATGCACAATCCAATCTAAATGCTGTTAGTGATTGGATTGCACAAAAACCGAGTGCTTTTGATTGGACGAAATTTTTCGATAACGTTCTTGCTATTGTCGGCAGCTCCAAAGAAAAGCGTGCCGAATGGGAATCGCGTCTGCGGGAAGCTCTAAATCGAGGCGGCTTGTCAACATGTGATGTTAACGATCCCAATTGTCCAATATTAAGTGGAAAACACAATGACTATGACATTATTTTTAGTAGTCTTTGCTTAGAAGCTGCCTGTTTAACGGTTGA